GTAGGACACACCCAGGTAGCAGAGCAAAGGGATCCATCTGCCTGTGTGCTTTTAAGTAAAAAAACAAAAACAAAAAAAAAACAACACACATCCAGGTTTTGCAGCAATGGAAGTAAGGGTTTATTAGAGAGTTGCAAGTCCCAGAGACACAGACGAGCTATCGCTCTCAAAAACCTGGCTCCTGAGGTGTCTCAAGGAGATAGATAGGCAAAAATCATCAGTCATGGAAACTACAGAAGTTGGGGTCATGCATGCATGTCCAGTTCTGGAATCAGCCATGCCCCAACACATCCGGGTTTTGCAGCAATGGAAGTAAGGGTTTATTAGAGAGTTGCAAGTCCCAGAGACACAGACGAGCTATCGCTCTCAAAAACCTGGTTCCTGAGGTGTCTCAAGGAGATAGATAGGCAAAAATCATCAGTCATGGAAACTACAGAAGTTGGGGTCATGCATGCATGTCCAGTTCTGGAATCAGCCATGGCACCATCCTGTCTGGTGCCTGACTTGGTCCTGTGGCAGGTGGGGTTGTTCTGCCTTGATGGGCCTGCAGCTAAAACACATTTAAAGCCAAGATGTTATCTTAATTTAACCAAAAGTTTTTGTCCTCCCTGTTGATAGACCTGAGGCTTCATTCTGAGGTTTCATTCTTAAAGGCTTTGACACTGACCAGAACCTTGTGTCCTAAGGCTTAATAATTAAGGAAGTAGGCATACAAAGGTGGAAGGATAGGGCAGAAGAAAAAGGTGAGTCATGACACCATTATCTAGACAAAACCAGCTTGAATCTAAGAAAAAACTATGTGAAATCTAGGTGAGGTTACAAAACCCTATCTGAAGAAGTTTCTGAAGGGAAAGACCATTATATTTTTCACTTTGGTTCAGTTCAATTAACATTTGCTAAGAACCTACTCTGTTGCAGATATTGCCTTCAGTGCTAGAGGCACAAAGGTGAAGAAGACACATCTCTGTTCTCAGGCAGGGGGATGACAAATACAAAAACAATTACAATTCTGTGTGGTACATGTAATGAAAAAAGGGTGTAAAAGCCAATGAGTGCACATTTAGAAGGGTACCTCATCCAACCTGGAACGGAGGAGGGTATCTGAGAGGGCTTCCTGGAGGTGAAGCCTGAGATGAGTTCTTCCCTCATTTGAATATTGAGAATATTAGGGTAAGGCAATTCAATAAAGCATTTGAAAAATCATCTTGCAATTAAAATAACTCTTCCTTTGCAAATTAATTTTGCTTGTGTGACACAATCAACAGCATATTACCTGCTAAAATATGCACGTTTAATGTCATCACAGGAAGCTACTTTAACCGACAACTGGATAAAACTCCCACAACAAGGGTAAGAGGTCCTCAGGGCAGGGAGAGGCATCCTGGTGCAGAGTGTCTATAAGAGGGGGCTCCATCAGAATTCCTATCCCCACACAGCTCAAAGCAATTCGGCATTTCTGAAACCCAAACTAGAAGGCAGGAGGAACTTCAAGAAAGGAGACTGGAGAGGCAGTCAGAGTCAAGTCGTAAAGGGCTTAATGCCTTATATAAAGGACAGGAGATAAAAACCACTGAGGTGCTTTCAGTTGGGAAATGTCGGATCTGACAAAAGGACTGGAAATTACCAGCATGCAGGTTATAGGAAAGCATGAGTAGATGAGATTGCCCAGGGATACCAAGTTGCAGAGGACTTAACCTTTGGGGAGATTCTTGATCCTTTTGAGAATGTGATAAAAGTTCTGTCTCTCCAGAAAAAAAATGTGCTTATTAAAAATCACACAAGCATATACACAATTTAAGGGCACCCTCAGATTAAGAAAATTTAATGTAGAAGGGAA